CCCGTTCTCCCTCTGGAACAGCCCGTTCTCCCTCCGGAACGGCCCATTCTCCCTCCGGAACGGCCCGTTCTCCTTCCTAGAATGGCTCGTTCTTCTTCCCCGGCCGGCCCGCTTTCTAACTAGTGACACCCTCGACAGTCAATGCCCTCAACCTAAGGAGCATTAACCCCATTCGGCACCCTCGATAGTTGAAGCCCATCTGACAAACTCGACACCCGAGACCTTCCACATCAAGGGGCACTAACCCCGTTTGATCCACTCAGTAGTCAAAACCCTTAATTCTAAGAAGCATTAACTTCGTTCGGTACCTTCGATAGTCGATAGGATCCAAAAATAAGACTTCCCCTAAATGGTGGTTAATTATCCTTAATTAGGAGTTAGAGGTGAATTACAGGAGTAAAGTCTATTAGCAACGCATTACCTAATTCCTAACCCTAATACAAGGTCATCGAGATCTGGGCCCATTAATGACATATAAATAGTTCACATCTCAAGGTAAAATTACTATCCATTTATTACCATTACTGTTCACTCACGTGCTGACTTGAATGTTGGAGTATCTTTTGCAAGTACATCTCCACTGTCCCATAGATCGGAACGAGTTCGGTCCCCAAATTACGAGAAAATTATGAATATGTCCTTAAACAAGTACATGAGATTTTTTTATTATTGTTTTAAAAAAATTTGTTATTATTAATAAATATTGATATATATCGTTAAAACTTATACTAAATTATAATATATTTGTTTTGAACATTTGCATATTAACTCATAAATATTTTAAATATATTGATATTATGTTTCTTTCCCAATGTGGATAACCAATTTTATTCAATATAATTTTAATTTTACTAAAAAAATAATAAAAAAATTGAGATAATTATAGAAAATAAAGTTGTAATAATTATTTGTGAAAAAATATAATTATTGATTAGTGACATCTAAAAAATAGAAGATTATAAAGCGAAATTAATTAAAAAGAGATAAATTAATTACGTCATTTTTTCTATTTAAGAAAAATAAATACACTCTTTAAAAAGGATCATCCAATTAACTATTAGAATTAGCACCGTAATTAGATGAAATTTTGAAAAATGTATAATAAAAATAATAATTTTAACTCTTGTAATGGTTTGTAGTAATTAATTGAGTAATAATTTTATCTTTGATATTATTTAAATCATAAGAATATATAGAATAATCATTTGTTATTATAAATTTTTGTGCCTAAAATAAAATAAAAATTATTTTGTTATGAAAAAATTCTTTAAAAAAAGGTGCAACAATTGTCGGGAAGAATTGCATCCCTTTCTCGATGCTTCTCTAGGTTTGGAGACAAAGTGTTGTCTTTCTTCCAATGTTTAAAAAAGAACAGTCAGTCACTTATATGGAGAGAAGAATGTGAATTGGCTTTCCAACAATTAAAAGAATTCTTGTTAAGTACCCCAATTCTCACAAAACCAAGTACCAACCACTGACACTCCATTACTCTTATACATATCAATTTTTAGTCATGCCATAAGCTTGACTTTGGTCCAGGTATTGGGAGACGAACAAAGACCTATTTACTTCGCTAGTTGAGTATTACATGGAGCGAAGCTAGATACCAAAAAATTGAAAAAGTAGCTCTAGCTAACTTTGGCAGAAGTTGCAAAGAAATTACGTTGTTTTCAAAGTCACCTAGTCATAGTGGAACAAATTAACCTATTCGACAAGTCCTACAAAAATCCAATCTTGTTGGAAGATTGGTGAAATGGTTTGTTGAACTTTTTCAATATGGGATAACCTATGCACTTCGAGGACCAATCAAGTGGCAAATTCTCTCTGCTAGTAGAGTTAATTTCACCTTCTACATACATCAGACACAAGTTGGACAATATGGATATTATCTGTAGATGGTGCATCCAATTTAAAGGGAAGCATAGATTGAGTCATCATTTAACACCCCTACTCTCTAAGTACATGTTTGGATATCCATTTGCATATTTACAAACTGAAATTCTCTCTTATCAATGCACTAAAATAAGAAGTAATATTTTGTAATTTTTCCGTTTAACGTAAATTTAATGAATTTAAACAATAAACCAAACACACGATATGTTTGGTTTGTCGTTGGAAATTCACGATATCATGTTCAATAAAAATGATAAAAAATATTACTTTTTAATTTAGTGCTTTAGAACGTGTATTTTCTTCGTTTAACGAAATTCAATGATAAATCAACCATTCTCTAAGAAGAATGCACCAACTACATTTATTTAAAAAGGAAAGTTGTGTCCAAGTAAAATCACCAACATTATCACGAACAGATAAACAAGACATTGCACTGACGACATGACAAGTGCGAGATGTGAAGTGACAAGAAAAACGTATGCTAAGCATGAGAAAATGTGCGATAAAAACTCGTGAGACATAGAACGACATTTGAAGAAAACGATTCACTTCAAGAAGAATTGGCTCAATATATATAAAAATGTTTTATTAAAAAAATAAATATAAGAATTTTAAAGTAAATTAGAACTCTTGCTCAAAACACTATTGGTATCTTTTACGAGTATTTTTTCCTAGATTGTCATTGATCAACAAGGGGACGCTCGTAAATAATCAATTTTCAATTAGTCTTTATGTGCTAAAAGTACTCAAGGTTAAAGGATCGTGTACTCTCTTGGGCTTTATGGCCAATCTACCTAAAATTGATTGATTGTTTTTAACTAATTTTAAGTCTCTTTGTATTATAATGCTCAAGACCGAGAGATTGTGTATTCTTTCAAACTTTAAGTCGATCTATCTAAAGACAAGTTGATCATTTTCAACTTCAATTTTTAGCAATTTTGTATTATAACGTTTAAGACTAAAGGGTTGTGTACTCTTTTAGATTTAGGATCGACCCATATATTTGGTCAATATTTGAGCAATAAAAGGTTAATTAACATAATAACGATAGACACATAATAAATCTATCTCCTAAGCTTAAGGACTTAGTCCAAAAGGTTATCAAATAATATGCTTATCATTGAGAATATCGATATAACAAACTAAAAAATATAGTATAATTTATAATAATTTTGTGAAGATATAAGATAAATAAACTAAGAATTAAAGACATATTCAATTTAATAAAATCAAAAGATATAATTTTATTAATATATATAACACTGAGACTAGGAGGGCAAAGGTAAGTTTTTTTCCTAACAATCACTTTTATGCTTTGAATAGACTATCATAGTTTCGATACCAAAACACTTAATAAGTAGTATTTTAAAAGAATCTAAAATAGTTTATTCAACCTAGTCTTTTATTCTAATAATTATAAAATTTGTCCTCAAACACAAGAGTCAACCTAATAGATTTATATTTGTATTAAAATAATATTTAATTAACAAAATTATATCTTATGAATATATAAATTAATTCTTAATTATTGATTTTGTTGTACCGAAAGAGAAAAAAACTTATTCAAAGGCAGCATATTGCTATGAGATGAACAGGAGAGTCTCGATCAATGTTGACTCAATTAATGACCGCTAGTGCGGGAAGTGTGTAATAAATATTGTAACACCGACGAAGACCCATATAATTACAAAATTCCTGAGTAAATACACAAAAACAGTAGCCGTTGGAAATTACCACTTACTATTTTAGGAAGTACTAAATTGCTACTGTATTGTCCCATATATCTAACTATTTTTGCAAATATAAATTCGCAAAAATAGTAATTAAGATGTGTAAAGGCAAATAATTACGGAGTATAATCCTTAAATTTAATAAATTTTTTTCCCGAGAAAATAAGAATTTATGGAAAAGTCATTTGTTTGAAACTGAATCTGGTTGGCAGATAGAGCGAAGTATGATGATGATGTTAGAATTTGAAACGGAAGTTGCGAATATTAATTGATCTCAACACATACATGCCGACCGCATTTATACCGTTATACCTACATCCTGACCTCACATTAATTCACTCAGCTTCCGCTTTTGCTTTTCTTCTTAACCTCTATTTAACTAAAAAAAATTAAACGTTGCCAATATCTTTTTTTGAAAATGTTTTTTTCCTAAATACCCAACGAATGGGTTTTAAAAACTTTATATAAATGCAAATCAAGCTTATATAAAAGCAAATTCACTCTCATCTAGTAGAGGTTAATAATGACTTTCACTTTACACCAATAGTATCTTATTTTAATCTATTTTTTTATATTATAGAAACGAAGATATGGGAGAAATAAAACATGCATTCTCATCTCAACTACCAGCCGAAAGACGAAGACGCAAAACTTCCTTGAAGACTTGATTCACGAGAAGATAACTTATACTGTATATTACCCTTCAGAAGTCAACTTTAACCTACCCCACCCCACTCTCTGCCCTAATCAATTAACCATGTTTTCGTCTACACTTTTTATGCTTTTTTTTAATGAAAAAATAATAAGTTAGTAATTTTTATTTATTATATTAATTTAATAATTAGTTAATTAATATTAAATTACTTTACAAACCCCCCATCAACTGTTTACTAACTTTCACTACATACATAACACAAAAAATCTCCATTACATACACGAAACAACGTCATTTTTACCTAGAACTACCAAAGCAAAAAAATAAATAAAAATTGCATATATCAAATTATAGTTATCTCTTAATTTAACTTAAACAAAATATATATAGAGAGGTATATAAAGTATCTCAATCATGTTAGTTACTGTAAAATATATAATGAATATGTTAAATGCTGATCATTTACTCTATCATTGCTAAAAGGATATTTTAGCTTTTAAGCCTTTAAAGAACATGAAATTAAGCTACACCGGGGGTGTTTGTGATTTGTGAATCTTTTAATGCGCATAGATATAGTTATGCAGTTCATTAAGGGATTATGCATTAATGATATATCAATAAAAAAAAAAACAAAGTAAATGATGAATAGGCAATATGTGTATTGAAAATTATGTAAGAGTTTGTTGACTAATGTCTTCGTCTTCTTTCAATTTCTGCTTTGTAAATAAATTTATAAAACTATTACTTTATTTTCAATCCATTTATTGCTTTTAAGAACTTGTATAGAAATAAGTGAAAACAATTTTTTTTCCTTTTATTTTTGTATAAAAATTTAAAAATAATTTGAAAATAAGATGAAAATTTTATGTTAAAAATAAAATAAAAATCAAAACATGAAATAAAAATAAAAGTAAACCGCCCTTTAACTTATTTGAAAAACTTTTATATATAATAATAATGTAAATAGACAAAAATATGTCTAAATAAGTGTAGAGACTAAAAACATATAAAGTTCTTATAATATTTTACTCAACGCTCTGAAATATTTTTATGGATAGAAACATATTTTACTCGTTTTCTTTTTCTGTGTTCATTTACATAATTTAGTACTCACCTATTTCTTATGTATGTATTAATGAAGTGAATAAAAAAGCAGAAAGAAATAATAATAATATTATTATTATTATTAAAAAAAATGTTGCGTGACGTAAACACTTTACTAGACAAGCTTTTCCCACGAAAGTGATGATTATAGAGATTAAAATTATAAGATTTTAATAATATTATAAAATATTAAAAAAAATTAATAAATAGTAAAAATAAAAAATTATTAAAATTACAATATAGAAATTCAAAAATTTATGACAAAAAGACAAAAAAAATACTTAAAAAATTATTAAAATTAAAATATAGAAATTCAAAAAATTTAAGTGAAAAGATAAAAATATACTTAAAAATTATTAAAATTAAACTATTTAAATATATAATAATATTATTACAAATAAATTAGAATATATAAAATAAAAATAAAATGACTAAATAATTTAAAAATTGAAAGAATAAAATATTATAAATATTATTTAAATAAATTATTAAAAATATAAAATATAAAATACTGTACGGGTGAGTACCATAAAATTATTTTACAGTTGATTGTAATATGTTGCGAATATATTTAAAGAGCAAGAAGATGTAGCTAATTTCATGGCAATGGAAGGAATCTCGTGGGGTTTGAAGAAGTACTGGATGAGAAGGGTTAAGGGATACCAAAGATTAATATATGGCTCCGATCGCCGAAGGAGGGAAGCGACCAAACTTGGAAGCAGAAGAAGAAGAAGAAGAAGGACATGGCATATCAAGATAGCTCCCAAGATGAGAATCCCCAAAATCTCTTCCCCAAAGAAAATGGTGCTGTGGCTCAGAGACGCATACGTCAGAATCATGCTGGGTCTCGCCAGCTCCACGGCTGCCTCGGCCGTCGGCTACGGCGGAGGCTTCGGCAGAGCCCCACCGGCGAAGGAGTACGACGAAGAGATGATGGTACATATGTACAACTCCTTGCTTATGGCACATGGACACTTGCTGCCACCACCCAACGCTGCCGCAACAATCGTTAACACTTCCTGAGAATGTTTTTTTATTTGCATACAAATAGTGAAACGAAGAAAGAAAAAAGAACTACTTTTTACTGTTTTTTATACAAATGTTAAAGAAAAGGTGTTATCGGAGATGGAGAACATGTGTAGCTATCACCAGACTTTACAGGAATAGAAATTAAACTTATTTCTCGATTCAATAGAAGCCCAGATAAGTGAATTTAATAGTGTCTTAAATAATGAGAGATAAAGAGAGATATGTAAAAAATAGGTCCGATTACGCTTATTCTTAATCTTAGATGGAATGGAACAATAAGAATCTATATATAAACATAATATCTATTTAGATACGCTCGAATCATCCCTTTCTCTCATAATGAGAATATATATAAATAACCTTATTCCATTCGGCTCTAGTATGGAATGAACTTATAATCATGAAATCGACTCGATCATCGGATTAAATAGAACCTGATAGCTAACAGTGATTGATTAAAAATGATATAACCTACAATGATTGATACAAATGAAGCGGGAGTGATATTATCTCAGTCATTTGAGATGTTTTAAAAAAAAATAAAAATTTAACTGATAGCCTACACAGCATGAAGTTGGCAACTTCATTTTTCTCGCACACGTAATCAGGAAAGTAATATATAATCACAATTCAATTTAATCTAGTACAACATAGACAACTTAATGAGATGAAGCAGAGCAACTTCATCTTCCTCAAACTCAAGGGAATTGGAAATTCATGTAATCTTGTGTTCTTCCTGAAGGAGGGTTTATGTACACCCAAAGCAAAGAGATAATAATGGAGAGCAATCCAGACCAAACATAGATGATGGTTGGAACCTTCCCTCTCCTTCCCATAAGGCCCTTTGCAAATGGGTAAAGATGGCACAAGACCCAGAAGCTGAAAAACACCCCTCCTACTAGTTTGCTCCATTGTGGAAAGGGACTGTACACAGTCCTGGCTACCCCTACAGCAATAGCAATGGAGTTCACCATCATAATAGTAATTGGAGGTACCATTAGAAAGCTCCACTTCACCACATAAAGATCAGCAAACTCATCATCTCCTTCTTCTGGAGTGGCTGACTTTGAGGTTAAAGTGAATGATATGTCAACTCCTGCTATGACCTTCAACAACCCTTGTAAAACAGCAGCAGGGTGTGCACTTGTTCCACCAATCAACCAGAACTGTTCATTTCGCCACCAATCATGAAGAGTGATTCCTGACCACTTGATCTCCAGGAGTGCCAGCAAGCACAGTGTGACTGTGATGCCCAGCAAGAACACCAGAAAAGTTACACTGAGGGTTTGGACTATAAACTGCCCCGAAAATAGGGACACTGCAGGCAGAAAACAATAAACGATCAAAAACATAGAAGTAAAAGGGTACATTCCCACGTTGAAATATGCCACCCTCTGCAAGAATTTCATTCTAGGACTTGCCAATAATGCATTGTTCCTTGAGAAGAAAATCTCAACAGAACCTGTTGCCCATCGAAGCACTTGGTGGAGCCTGTCTGTCAAATTGATTGGAGCTGTTCCTCTAAAAGCATCCCTTTTGGTCACACAGTACACTGATCTCCACCCTCTATTGTGCATTCTGTAACCAGTCACCACATCTTCTGTAACTGAACCATATATCCACCCCACTCGTTTGCCCCACTCAGTTTTATCCTCGTAGAAACAAGATATCACACTTATTGCCTCAGCAACAGTGGCAGCATCCAATGGTTCTCGAGGCACAGCAAGAGAACCTGCTGGTCTTCCATGTGTTCCCTTTCCTTGCAAATCTTGAAGCAACCTTCCCTGGTATTCTGCCACAGGAATCGATGCAGCGAGAGAAGAAGAGTTCCCAAACCTTTTGGGAAGAAGCAAGGACTCTATGTCTGCATCATCGTCATTATGATCACCATTTATTGGCACGGAAACCTCATCCTCTTCCTTTTTTGACACCTTTGGCTTTCTCAGAAACAACTTAATTTTCTTCCTGCCAAACCACCCGTGGTGTTCTGTGGCTCTTGGAGGACTAAATCCATAAAGGGCAGTTCTTCTGAATATGCAGCCTGTTCCCACGTACATGGGGCCCTGTAAGCCATCAAGAGCTCTCATGCTCACATCAAAGAACACTGTGTTGTGGTTTGCATATCTGTCACTGGGGTCAATACCCTCAAACCTTTGTGGGAACTGAACGTAGCATATCCTATCACCACCCCTATCAAGCATAAAGCACATACCTTCCCTCAGTGCCAAGGAGTTGTAGATGTAATGATCACAGTCAAGATTAAGAATGAATGGTCCATTGGACATAATGGCACTGGTGCGAACAAGAGCATTCATGGCTCCTGCTTTCTTGTTGTGATCATATCCCGGTCTCTTCTCACGAGACACATAAACAAGCATGGGCAGCCTAATATCAACATCTGTTGTGTCAATCAAGTTCTCCCCATCAGCTTCTACCCCAAATTCCGGTTCTGCATTTGGTGGAGCTAACATTGCCTGCAAAAAACCATGAAAAACTCGGTGTTAGTATTCTCTATCTACGGTTCAAGCACAACATGATAATACTAAGATGTAATGAACATTATTTAGTTTTAATCTCTACAGAAATTTTATTCATTAGATTTTACTCCTCGTGGTATAATGAGAAACTAAAACCAAGTCATTTTTTAATCACTAAACATATGAACTAAAAATGAATAAAATGTTTAAGGTCCTATAAACATGAAATTATACCATTACATGCCTAAAAACAAATATAAACATTTTACCTATTGTTACAATACACAACATGAACAAGTATTGAAGAATTTTTACCTGAATTATTCCAGCATGGTCCCCTCTTGAGTGGTCTTGTTCTGCTGAAGCCCAAGTTCCTGGCCAATGAGAACCATCGGACATCCATGTAGCTTTAGGAACCTTAATGGGTTCAGACACATTGGAACCTGCTTCCATCTGTTTCTTCTTGGCACGCAACTCCTCGTGAGCATTGTAAGCATCGGATCTTCTCCTAATGGATTCTGGCAAGGAGTTTATCCTCACTTTGAACTCATCATATTCCCTTTTCACCCTTCTCCTCTCTCTCACAAAGTCCAACCGGACCTTATTCTTAAGAAAATCACGCTTCTGTCCAAAATAAGCTTCGGGGTTTCGGGGCTCAATCTGGTGCTTCCGACAGAACGGAACCCAAATTCTTGCAAAGCTAGCAGTCTCAGCAAGAGCTTCAAACGTCAACAGAGCTCCACCATCATCAGACAAGTAACACGCAACCTTCTCCACAGGATAATCAACAGCAAGGATGGAGAGAATGGTGTTGGCAGTGACAAGAGGAGGCTCCTTTTCTGGGTCTGCCGTGGAAACAAACACGTCAATGCCTGGTAGATCAGACCTCCCTTTCGGGTTGCGCAGGTTTGGAGACTCAAACCGCTCT